GCTCCCTGCCATGGCTGGTGAGCGCTTCAGTCCCCGGGGGGGGGAGGGGTCCCGCACTGCGCCCCCTGCTGGGCGGGGGAGCGGGGACGAGGAGCGCCCTCAGGTGCGTCCCCGCCCGGCTGCTGAGTGCGTGTGGGGAGGATGTTGTGTGGCGGGGGGTGTTGGAGGGGTGCGTACGCATGCTATTTTTAATGTTTTTATTTGGAAAACTATATTTCTCTATATACATATATACACACACACACACACACACACACGCACACACACCATCCTAGATAAGCATTTCTACACAAACGTTAAAACACATTTAAAACCCGCGCACCCATCGCAACGGTCGTCCCGCGCATCTGTGCTCCCACACCCACATCCGCAGTCCTTTCCTTAACTCAATCTCTTAGTTCTCACCCGGCTGTTAGGGTTTACACTGTATGCTCATTTCCTGCCTCTGTTGTCACTGTTGCTTTCGCTGCTACTGACACTGCTGTTGTCATCATCGCTGTTTCGAGGTCCGGTTGTGTCGCTGTCGTCTTCATTATCGCTGACTACTCCGCCTCTCAGAGTGTCTTTAAATAGCCTTTGCCAAGAGTCCCTTTGCCAAGTGGAGTTGGCCGCATCTTCTCCATCCTCTCCCACCGCTTTCTGGTAGTAGGACTGGAGTTCAAACAGAAACATTTTGATACAGTCTGTTTCCTCGAGCTCCGTGTGTCCGTACACCGATAGGTTCCTGCATTGCCACAGGGTGCTCCTGATGTAGGACACAAATTGGTCAAAGTCAGCTGTTTCAGACCCTTGTCATCAGCCTGACTCGTGTCACCTCTTCAAGGAGCTGACTTACCTTTTTCCAAACTCCCTTGGCATAGGGACAGAGCCTTAGGAAGTGGTCGATGGTCTCTCTTTCATCTTGGCAGGCTTTCCTGAGGCAGTTGGGTCAAGTCCCTCATCCCTTTCTGCATCTCCATGCTCTCATTGGGAGATCGCAGTAAGCCAGTTCAAGTCTCTGTGGTTCTTTCATAGGTCCTTGTGGAAGATCTGGTTCCAGAAGGCTTGGCAGTCATCTTCAGGGAGCATCTCCATGGTTGATACTATGTCTGTGTCTCTGACTACCTTCTGTATCTTCCTGTGGTTAGTCATAGTCACCGGGCTTTCCTTCTGTAGCCTGTACTCACTCCACAAATCATTCAGGACTCTGCAGAACCAGGGGTATTCCATGCTCCACAGTTTCCAGTTGGTTGGTGTGTACACCCCTCACTGTCTCAGGAGGTGATCTGGAAAAAATGTTACTAGACAGACTGTTTTGGACACTGGCCAAGTCACCAGCTTGCAGATCAGGCTTGTGTACCCTGCCAGCAGGAACAGGTGGATGTCTGGCACCCTCCCTACCCCCAGTCCATTTCTTTTTGTATAGGTTCTTCCTTGCCACCTTCTCCATTCTGGATCCCCAGAAGAAAATGCACATGGCTCTCTGGATTCTGTGGATGATACACTTTGGAGGGGAGACAACTAGTGTGGTGTACAAAAGCACTAGTAGCAATACCGCCTTCATGAGTGCCACTGTGTACACTGAGGCAGGCCAGGCTGTGGTGCCAACACTGCCTTGACATCTGTGACCGGATGCGGCGGGCACCGGGCAGGCACCATGAGCCCTGCAGGGACCTGCAGCACCCCAGCCCCACTGCCCACCACACCTTGGCAGGGAAGAAATGGCTGTCTGGTTTCCCTGAGCTCAAGCAGCAAGGGAAATGATCTTGCTAGGTCCTTTCCAGCCCTAATGTCTATGAAATCTATGAAACCAAGAGCTGGTATTGCCCAGTGGGCACCTCCGGTCTGCAGAGGGCTGCTGGGGGCTGGCTCAACTCTCAAAATGGTTGATAGCCACTGGGCTGGAGCTGGGCTGCACCTGGCAGCCTGACCTGCAGTGTCATTTACCCACTGAGCTGCCAACTCTCACCTCCAACAGGCCCACGGCACCTGATTTTCATTGCATCTTTCTCCCCTGCTGCTGCTGGTGGCTTGGAGGAGCTCCTTGTAAATGTCTGCTCCACTGAGTCATCACCCTCCTTCCAGACCCTCCTTGTAATTCTCCATTTCTGTGGGGCTGCTACAAGAGCCTGGCGGTGGCGAGGCAGCTGGTGTTGACCGCTGCTATTCTCTTGTACACCGCTATTCATCTGCCTCCATTTGTTTAAACAAGACTTTGGGGCCTTTTTTGTCTTTGTTGTTGCAGTGCCTGGCACGATGGCATCCTTGCCCATATCTAAGTCTCCTACTCACAAGAGGGTCACAGATGGTTCATTTTTTCAAGTCCTTACTTTTACTCTGGACCCTCTCCTCTGGTCCTTCAGTCTTTCCTCATAGGGCTTGTCCTGTAAGCCCCTAACCATACGAGTGACCCTCCTCTGGACCCTCTTGAGTCTATCAACATCCTTCTTGAAGTACGGTGTCCAAAACTGGATACAGTACTCCAACTGCGGTCTGACTTATGCTGCATAGAGGGGAAGTATCACCCCCTTGGTTCTATTTGTCATGCATCTGCTGATGCATGATAAAGTGCAGTTAGCTTTGCTGATGATTTTGTCACATTTCATAGACATCAGGGCTGGAAGGGACCTCGGAAGATCATCAAGTCCAGCCCCCCGCCCAAAGGGCAGGAAGTCAGCTGGGGTCATAGGATCCCAGCAAGATAAGCATCCAGTTTCATCTTGAAGGTGTTCAATGAAGGCGCTTGAACAACCTCCGGTGGCAGGCTGTTCCAGACCTTGGGGGCTCGGACAGTAAAGAAATTCTTCCTTATGCCAGCCTGAAACGATCTTCAAGTAGTTTGTGACCATTCGACCTTGTCATCCCTTGGGGCGCTCTGGTGAACAAACGTTCCCCCAGATGCTGGTGGTCACCCCTGATAAACTTGTAGGTGGCCATCAGATCACCCCTGAGCCTGCGCTTTTTCAGGCTAAAGAGCCCCAGGGCTCTCAGCCTGTCATCGTAGGGTCTGCTTCCCTGACCTCTGATCATGCGCGTGGCTCTTCTCTGGACTCTCTCAAGCTTCTCCACATCCTTTTTGAATTGTGGAGCCCAAAACTGGACACAGTACTCCAGCTGCGGCCTCACTAAGGCCGAGTACAGGGGGAGAATGACGTCCCGGGATTTGCTTGAGAGACGTCCCGGGATTTGCTTGAGACGTCCCGGGATTTGCTTGAGATCATCGAGTCTGACCCCCTGCATAGGCAGGGAAGAGTGCTGGGTG